TCGCCCATGCACTCTCAGGAGCGCAGCCAGAGCCCTGGTAAGAGGGGCACAGGGTTGTCAAAAGACCCCCTAATAGTAAAAGGGCCCCAAATCTCCTGGTATGGCCAATTTGTTAGTGAAGACACGTTGTCCTTGGACTATATATCTAATATATATATATATATATACCTTCTATAAATAAAATAGAGGACGGGCGCTACCACGAGATCAATCATGCCTGAATCTCAAATGGTTAATGAACTGAAAAGCCATGCGTTGCATGACTGCATGAAATAAATAGATGGCGCTCTACATTAAAAATAGTCCGGTGAGTTCTTCTTAAGCTGACAAAGAACGCAGGTACCTTGTCATAATTTTCATCTTAGTCGTGCAGGGACGCCAAGAACAACGCAAATGTAGCTTAAATATCAAAATGTTTCAAAAATTTGCATTAACATGGCCAAGCCATTTTCGTCTGGATGTGTTCATCATTCAGCCAGAATCGTGATAAGTGATCCAAATTATGTAACGTCATTTTGAGCAAGCGAGCTCGCATATCTTGGCAACAAAAACGTCGACGCCAGGCGTTGCATTCCCCGGAAGCCGCGTGGCATCAGCCCGCAGCCAACACTAGGCTATAGCCAACAGGTGGACGAAAAGAATAATGCATTTGACGGAAGAACGTTTGAATACTTTAGGGCACAAAATCGTACATGTAGAGATGCTCCGGGCGTACATTTTACCTATGCGATTTTAGATTGATGGTAACAACAGATTCGCCTGTGGAGCACCGCGAAGTGGTTCTTGAATCCGGTGGTGGAACTGGAAGAGCAAAGCCAAAATGTCTGTTTCTCGTGTTGCTGTGGCTCCTAAGCTGTCCAGAAGACAAGCCCAAAGTTATACACAGAAAATATTCGCTCAGTGTAATCTTTGAACCGTACGACATGATTGTTACGGAAATTCAGAAACATCATTTGGTCGTTGTTGCGCGATCCCTGGCCGATCCGGAGCCCCTTAGAGGGATGCATCACATCACATTGGTCTGCTCCCAGATGCCGGAGCCCTTCTGACCCGCGTAGTTGAACCCGGATCGACACTTGAACCGTCATTGACGCAACAACATCCCTGACCGCCGCAGGTGGTCGAATAATTGGCATATAAACCCTACTTTGGCTTAACGGGCCCATTCTGGAATTGGCTTGGAGGGCTCATCGTTTGGTATTGAGGGCTCTGACTGGCACAGGACCTTTCAGTTGCCTCAATGTGAGCATTCATCATAAGTCCCTTTGTTTCCTCTAATTGTCAGGA